GTGGGTTACATTTATTTCATTTTCACTATTTTTTAATTTTTTCTGCTGGATTCATTTTTTTTCCTCGTGCTGGGACAACCTGCTAAGAAGCTTTGTGGGGTTAATACTTTGGGATTCATTGTTAATTGCATGAATTGCTATATTTAACTCCTTTCCTTTTCCTTGTGTGTTATCTTATTTTTAGGCGAAGGAAGTCCGGAGGCTTGCTGATAATATGGTACAGCTTGGGAAAGAGGTGTGAGTTTCTTCCTCTGCTCTGATTTAAATGAGTTTATTGTTTCAGATTCTGATGACAAGTTATAAATTTGAGTTAATTCTATCTTTTTAAATCCATTTCTTTCATCGTTAAACTAATGTAATTTGATACTATGCAATTACATTGTGTAATTAGGGTCATTCTGTAATGTTAACAACGATGATATTGTATTATTATTATTTTTTTGAGATTCATTAATCGGCTATGTCATTTCAAATCTGGCAGAAGAATAGTGCACTTTGGACAATCAGATTTGCTTAAGTTATCGTACTCTTCATGACATGGAACATAGTGTATTACCTAGCACTGCTCGAGTACTAGATTCATTCTCTATTCCTCTTTGAGATGCGTCTCTATGAAACCTTATCGGGATTAGGTTGTACTCTGATGTAAATGTATCAGGTTAAGAAGTATGGGGAGATTGAATTGGGTGAAGATCCTTTACAAGGTGAGGTGAAAATTCAACAATTTAAAGAAAGTAATTAATCATAGATAGAAACCTCGCTGGATGATTAGGAAAAAGAAGCATCAAAATTTAAATTAAATTATCGTGGATATAATAAATATATACCTCTTTGATAAGTTAGTTGATCAACATGCATGAACGGAGTGCTCTATACGACTATGAACTATCATTTTGATCTGTTTACTGAAGCATGTTTCAGCAAACTTTGCTGTTGAATGTAAGCCCGGAAACAATCTAGAGAAAAAGTCAGATTCTATTCCAACTCCATGATGATGAGCTGACAAATAACAATCTACTTTATGCTTTAGCATAATGGAAAACCAGTAGTGCTTCTTTTCTGAAGACAGAATTTTCATGATATATGTACCGAGTCATTTTGTTTTATTGTTTAGTGTTTTTTACACAAATACCAAATTACTATAGGGTACTCTCTGTGCTGCAAGGCGCGCTGCTGCCTTTGTACGTGGTGATGATGTCCTCCACAAGATATTCACGGAATTGGCTTATCGATACAAGTGAATCTCAAACTTGTTAACTTTTCAGCGCGTGTTTTTGACTTGTCCTTGTGATATAAGTTGGACGTTTTTCATTTACAGGGGTAGAGCTGGTGGATACACGAGATTACTCCGAACCCGAATTCGAGTTGGTGATGCTGCACCAATGGCCTATATTGAGTATGTATTTTGTTTAATAATTTCTTTATCCTGTACAGAGGCACTAACTTGCCATCTGTTCGCATATTAATGATTGAGCTTTTAGAGTCATAAGAAGTTTCATATTTCACGAATCATGGAGAGAAAAAATCTTTATAGCACAACTGAATATATCCATGGTACAGCACGTATTTGTGAATGCATTATAACTACATTTCCCTCTTTGAGTGCGTTTTTGTTTCACTTGGCAGGTTTATAGATAGAGAAAATGAACTTAGACAGTCTAAACCACCAACTCCGCAACCTTCTCAGAGGTCTCCCTTGGATCCTTGGATGAGATCTCGACTTACAAGACAATTAGCACCACCTAAAGAGGAGAAAAGCTCTGAAGCTGAGAATTAAAATACAATCTTTTTGAAATGTAGGACAAAGGTTTTGTTTTCATCTTTCTATTTGATATGTAGCCTTTTGTAATTCCTGAAGGTGAAACCTTTTCTTCGTCATTTGAAACGAGTGAAAATAATGTAGATTTGGATTTGCTGTGGTGCTTAAAATGTTTGGACTGGCTTTTAGTTGCTTCGTTAGCATCTTCTTTAGGAGTTGTAAATGACGTCTATATACAGATGCTGCAGCATACTTAAGCAGAAGGAAAGGAAAAGAAAATATTTAGAATACAAAGATGTTTAAACGTTTTGGCATATGCATTTTGTTATTGATGCATGGCTTGACTTGATTCAAGTTGTTCATCTGTAACAATTGTTCTGGTTAATACTTCTTTGTGCGAGAACTTGAGACCGAAAGAATGAATCATTCGCAACTAAGCACTTTTTCTAGCTCTATCCATAGTTTTAAGCTACTGCTTGCATGCACGTCTGTTTGTGTGCGCGTGCGCCTTTTTGTAGCCACACGAGGAATAAATTTGTCTGTTGTGGCATGTTGAGGCACCCTTAGTGTGCTTAAAATTATGAACCGTGCTACTCGTGCATTTTTCTTTATAGTTTCTTCGACGGATGTTGAGGTGGCTTGCACTTGGCCGTTGATTTAAATATCATTTATTCAAATCAATGGTTGAGGTGCATGCTACCTTTGTATCTGTCAAAGAATCTTGCTATACAAGTGGTTTAATTCTAAAATTATTTGGGTTGATCTAGCACAGCTTGTGCTGTGTCTACATTCTAAAGCACGTCCACTAGGCTGGTCCGTGTCTAAAGCACGCTGGGCATGCTCGGGACGCATTTTTCCCCCTTGATCGAAGTTGGTAAGCACCGGCTTCTTGCTTCAATCATGAGGTGACTGACCGGTTCCCTTTAAGCACAAGAGGAGAAAGTATAGGTTTGATGATTGTGTTTAAAAGTGTGCAATCACATTGCAAGTTAACTAACCCAAAAAGAAAAATATATAATTGGATTGACTATACGAGTTGGTCAAGGCACGCCCACATTATTATCAATTGTTTTATAACAAAAAGGCCAAGGCTAAAATACGAAGCCCGGATTGCTTTGCTTTCAATACAAAATACATACGGTGTTATGTCTTTATAATATCCTCTCAACCTTTATTCCCCTTTTCTTCCTTTTCTAGTATTTATTTTATTGCAAGTCTGTTTAAATCTTAATTCCCAAGATTGAATGTTCTGTCCATCCAATAGGGGATTTCAAATTTGGGTGAAGGGAGATAGATTAAAGAAATTTACGGCAGGATACAAAATCATATTAGATTTTTCGCCAAAAATGAAACGAAAAAAATTTCCCGAAAATACTCGGCCAAATCGAGTATTTGCCTTTTTTTTTAATATTTTCTCTTTTGTAAATATTTGAAGATGGCTAAGGATAATTATAGTTGTTATATAAATATTTTTGTATTTCTAATTTGTATTTTATAGTTGTGTACAAGGACATTGTGGTGGAGTAACTGAGTATCCTTGGCGATAGGTGCAAGGCTTCAGTCATACAAGGATGTCCCACCTTATGTATGTTCAGAAAGCAGCCCAATTGTTATATTGCCAAGTTTGATCTTTTCATTTGTCCAAAAATCTTTTACATTTTTTTTTTCTTTTTTTCTTTTTTTGTTTTTTGGGTTTGCTTACTGGCCCGTCAAGACTTGAAAGCTTAAAAGTTCATGTTCTCTTTTTTTTTTTTCCCTTTTTTTGGGGGGGCGGGGGGTGGTGGATGCAAAATTAATACATCTAATAACATTCTACGGTTTACGCAGCTCCCATTTTGGTCGTTGCTATTACGGGATATCGTTTTTGAACACCACAAAATAATACCTAGAGCGGGAGATTAATAAATCGAGATTTCAAAGATGAAATTTCACTCGTAGTAGCATGTCGAATTGACAATGTGGACGAATAAAAAAGACTATCTCGCAAGGTGAACCAAATGTGCCCAAAAGACTGTATTATCACAGAATGACACATTACACTTCATTACCAACTTTTATTGTAATGATTAACCTTCAAAGACATTCATTAGAATTAGGCTTGATTATTGAGTACCCATTACTGCAACTAATGATAATATGCAACTTAACAAGCAAGAAATTAAAAGAACATCAGTCTTAGGAAACTTCATCTCTTTTAATGTATTAAAAATGGGGTTAGCTTAGAAGAAACCATTTGATTAACAATATTACCTTCCATTTCAGGGGATTTTCTAACCGTAACCTAAAGAAGATGATTAAATAATTAGATTTCCCTATCTGGTAAGTAAGACATGACATGCAAATAAAATACAAGTAAAATCCTAGTATCAATTGGATAGTTAACTCTCTCATATGCACATGTTTTGAGTTCGGATCCTGAATGACACGACAAAAAGTTGTGAATGATAAGAGAACATATGCCCTCCAAAGAGTTTAGTACATAAGATAGTGTCCCATCACGAGGCTTGGGTCGTTACCAAAAAAGAATAAGATAATTTCTACTAAACTAAATAATACGCGCATTTAAGAAAAAATGTTGTTGAAGAATTAATCTTCCATCACCACCAACAAAATGAGAGTGAATAATTTTGTATATTATTTTTGTTTTCAGCTTTAACAAAACATGAACAAAAAATAAAGTCATAGATCAGAAATAGAGAGAAACAACTGTACTCTCCATGAATGGCTACATAAACAAATTGTTCAAAGCAAGAAAGAAAGGATTTTTATCATTAAAAAAAAAAAGAAGGTATTTTATGGTGGTTCATCTGAAAATGAGATGCAGATTATATATATAATTTTTTTTCCTTGTAATCATTTTAAAAGCTCAAAACCTCAAATATTGGAGGAGAATTCAAATATAAGTTATCCATTTCCATATAGATCCTCCTACACTTTTCTTTCTACCTGGTACATATAACATCAATTTATTCCACCATTCACAGAAAGCTCCAAAAATACAGATCAACCCTCCCTCTTGCTGTTTTTCTTTCTCGTCTCTGTAAGTGCTATGCTGGTTCAAAATTGATGAGGCATCTTCAAAGGTAATATTTAATACAGATATTGAAGCATCTAAATCATTTAGAAACTATCTGTTTCCTGGTATACCTTTTACATATATAACCCTTAACTTGTATAATAGATGAGCATAGACAATCATGTAACTGTGTAGAATATTGATTATAGTGACACCTTCCTGAACAATTCTGATAACCTTCAAATGGTCTTCTACTAAACTTGTCTACCATTTTTTAGCTGATTGTCTTTCGTATTTTGCTCTATCAATGTCTTTCTCATTGAACTTTCCTTTCTCGGCATGATGTATAGACTTTTCTGACTTGTGGTTGATATTGAAATGATATGCTTTTTCATGTTAATTTTCAGATCAGAAGTTTCTTAATTTTTTATGAACAAAGTGATATGAGAGTGATGTATCGTTTCTGAAGCTCCATGGATACCAGACAAAGAATGTGAGTACAGTATTTAAATGATTTTATTTCTTATGCATATCATTCCAGTCTTAATTGTTTCATGCTGGGAATTTTTTCGCTAACTTTTACCCATACATTTTGATTGATTTCACAACAACAATTTACTAAGCCTTGTTCTCAATAACTTTAGGATCGGCTGCATGAATCTTTTTCATCACTCTGTTTGGTTCATCATTATTGAGTTTAAGAAACTAAATTGAAACAGAAAATTTAAGCATGGAATCCTATTGCTGCAAAATAGCTTTCCAGAATGGTCTATAGGAAGTCCTAAAGCTTTATCATTTGCTGAAGAACCCAGCTTCTTCTTTTATCCTGCTTTCATGTATGTTTTTTGTACTTTAAGATTCAATCTTGTGGATTTATTCCCAATGATAAATTTCCCTTTAAATTTGGCAGGGGAAGAAATCTGATAGAATCTGAAATGTTATGAAAATGGAGTTTTCCATTTCATCCAATATTTGATTGCTTTTTAAACAGTTAACTTTTATTTTATAGGTAAAAATTAAGATTGAACATGGATAGAAATTTTAAAAGGTTTTATTATTGGACCGTGCTATGTGTTACACTCCCCTCACACAAGGGGCGGGGTCCACGCATTAAATGCACCGGGACCCACTCCCCTCATGTGAGGGGAGTGTACACCGAGCTGTGTACAACAGCTCGGCGTACAAGAGACAAAATTCTTTATTATTTCTAAAGTAGTAGTAGAATCTTGAGGAAATTGTCAGATTGATATTGTCAGAATAACCATTCTCGTTATGGATTATTTTCTTCTGAAGTTTTATCTCTTACAGAATATATTTGAGGCGTTCTCATCTTTTGAAATCCTTTAGGTTCTGTGTTTATTTATTAATCTCATATATCTTTTTCTCGTTTTACTCATCTTATCTACAATAATGTATATATATAAATGACCTTTTTTTTTTCACAGAGACGACGTGTACAAGAGAAAATTAAAGAGAATCAAAGTGAGAAGTGTCGAAAATCCTTTCCTATTTATCTCTGCAGGAAAGAGCACCAAATGCAAACTCCATCCCTTTAAGATTATCCTTGCCTTCATCATACTAATCACCGTTGTGACATTTCTTTCGTCTCCAACAATTTGTCATGAAAACAGTATATCCCACACAGTTTCCCGGTCAGATCTGTTTCCTTTATTGTCTTCTACTGTAAATTTAAATACATTCTTATCCTCTTATGCATTCTTCAATTAGAAACAGGGGAAAATCTTGTGATCGATAATAAAAATGTTAACTTGAATAAATGATCACTGACTTAAGAATTTCGCTTGTATAAATAATCTCAACAGACAGTGCACATCTGAAGTATTAGTAAACAGTCTTTTGAAATTGGGACGAATATCTAGTTTTAGTGTAGATATTAAAAGTCAAGAAATAATGAAATAAAGAAAAGAATAGACTAAAGGAAGCTCTTTAGAAACAATAATCAACTATTATTAATTGGTAGCTTATTTAATGCAGGCCACATTTTGTGAACAGGTGGATATGGGGAGGGACAGATTCTCGCTATATATCAAATTTAGATATGAATTGGGATGAAATATCTCGAGCTTTAAAGAAGTTACCTGAAAACAATAAGATTCAAGGAGTTGGTCTTCTTAACTTTAATAAGAGTGAAATCACTCAATGGGAACTGTTTCTTCCCA